TGGCTGCGTGGCTGCGTGGGCCAGTAAAGTGTGTTCATGCCGCCTGGGAATCCGCAGCACCCCTCCTCGGGCAGGGCCTCTCTAGCCCCAGGGTCCAGGCCGAGAGGGTCAGGCCTTTGTGTCAGCCAGCCCTCCCCTCCCCGCACACCGCCCCTCCGCCCGAGTCTCCCCCAGGCTTCTCTGCCCCCGGAAGTCCGGTTTCTTCTCAGAGATGTTGCCAGTTCGAATTCCCACAAGCAGAGCCTGCATGGGCCCGGCCGGGTCCCAGCCCTTGGTTTCCCCCTTCACACCGGGCGGCGGAGAGGACCTGGTGCCCGAGGCCTGTGTGCTGAGAGCACCGCCCTCCCCTCAGGACAATCTGGGCCCCCCTGGAGCCCCCCCCACGCCCCCCTGCCCTGTGTTTGTCCAGGCTGCTGTCTCCCCGGGGTCGCGGCCACAGGAAGGTGAGGCTGCGGTGGCATCCACCCAGGTGGCCCGTGTCTCCTGCTTTGTAGTTGCTCAGAGAGAGAGGCTTCCACGGAGCGTGGTGTGGAGGGGCTGGGGCAAGGGGGTGCCTGGGCAGGTGGAGGTCCCCGTGGCATCCAAGGGACAAGGTTTCGACTCGGTCTCAGACGCACCCCTCCTGCAAACCTGCCCCCCCGCCCCCCGCCCAGGAAGCAGCGGCTGGCACACTAGGGCCCGCAAAGGGCACCGGCTTGAACCCACTGCTCAGCCCACCTGGGCGCCCACGGGCTTTCTTGGGCTGAGGGGTTCTGCTGCCCAGAAGACAGAAACCTGAGCTGGGAAATGGGGGTGCATGCAGGGGCGTGGTTCAGGGGTTGAAGCACAGCGCCACCCCTCTGGAGGCCATGCGGTGGGCACAGGGACAGGGCCCCGAGGAGGGGACACAGCCTGACCACTCTCTGGTGTCCTGGCGGTCTGCCCGGGCGGAGCTCCCACCTCCCCCACCTTCCTCCTGGCTTGGCTGGGGTGCTGTGGGAGGGGCAGGGAGGCCCCGTGCAGCCCCCCGGCACACGTGGTGCCTCCGGGGGTGCAGGGTGGGGGTCAGATGACGGACCAGGCCCAGGTCTCAGAGCAACCTGCTGAGGGAGAGGGAGCCGGGCTCAGCCTGGACCCCCGCGGCTGCCACACAGCAGGTGCCTGTGCCCTTGGAGGCTTGGGCCGGGGGCAGGCTGGCCCACAGTCGGGAGCCCACCTTTAAGGAAGACCCCTCAGGCCAGTGCCCCGGGCGAGAGCCCACAGCCCCGCTCGGCCCTGCCCGGGCCTGCTCCTCCAGGCCGGGCGACCGCCCCGACCCCGCAGCCCCTGAAGAGGCAGCCGCCGGCTGGCAAGGTCGGGGCGCCGTGCCGGGGCTCATCTGCTGCGCGGCCGGCTGTGCGGCCCCTCCGGCCTGGCTGCCAAGCCTCCAGTGTGTCACAAGGCTGGGAAGGGCCTACGTGGGGGCTCAGCAGCGTCTGAGGTCCCGGGCTCCTCACACTCAGGTCCGCGGGGCTGGAGGTCCGTCCGGCTCCAGCCACCCGCACCTGCTTCGGTGCCCTGGCTGCCCAGCGGTCTGGCTGAGCCTGGCGCAGTCCCCATAGGTCAGGGGGTGCAGGGGCAGAGCCTGGATGAAGCCAGAGAGCTGGGGAGGGACCCCGCACCAAGACGGCCGGCCGGGCCCGCAGGGACACGGGCTCCCCAGCGGAGGCACAACGGCTCCGGCTGTGAGGGGGGGCTGTCTCGGGGCCTGCCCACGTCTGCCCGTGCCACCCCCACCTCTGCCCCAGCTGAACCCCCCCCAGAGGGCACCGGGTGGACACGCCCCAGTGGGCGTTGCCTAGTGGTGCCCCGCCTGGGCCCAGTAGCTTCTTTCTGAACTCTCATTTTATCCCTTAATTTAAATGGCACTTCCTGAGCACCCCGGGGGGCCAGGCCCCGTGCCAGGTGCTCCTGGGCTCTGGCTTCCCCCGGGGCCTAAAAGTCCCAGCACCGTCGCTCCTCCAGCGGTGGCCTGGTGGGCATGGCTTCCAACCCCAGCCTTGGGGGTGGGCTGCCTGCCGGATGGGCCTGAGCTGGGAGGGGATGTGCCTGCTGGCAGCGGGGCGCCTGACCCAGGGCACAGGGAGAAGCCCTGGGAGACCTGCCCGGCTCGGGACACAGTGCATGGGCCGAGCCAGCGGGGGCTCCGCGTGCGGAGGCTGGCCCGGGCTCTGAGAGGGTCCTTGGGGGTGAGGCTGGGTACAGAGGGGATGGGGGCTGCCCTAGGGCCCTGCGGGCCAAGCAGGGGTGTGCAGAGGGGGAGAGCCCAGGACCCAGGACTATCCCGGCTGGCTGCCTTTAGTAAGCACCTGCTGCGTACTGACCCAGGCCATCAGCTTCTTGCCCCCACCCGCCTTTGAGGGTCACTTTGGCTGCCCCCCGTTCACAGATAGGGCAGAGGGGGGAGGTGCACGGGCCCAAAGCCCAGGGGCAGCCTGGGTCGGGCGGGCACCAGCCTCAGAGACCGGCCCCGGGCCAAGCCCAGAGGTGCTACGCGCCCGCCTGCCTGGGGCCCCGGGGGGCAGGCTCCTGGACAGTGTTGTGGGCATAGGAGAGCAGGTGGGGGCCTCAGGGAGTGGGCGGCCTCCCGGCCATCCCCACCCTGCCCCCAGCAGGTGCTCCCAGCACCCATGGGACCCCGAGGACCTCACTGAGGGAGCCCAATTTGGAGACAAAGGCCGGGCGCTTTGGGCAGACGTTCAGGGACACTGTCCGCGGGAGCAGCCGGGCGGGCCCACAAAGGGGCGGGGGAGGGGCTGCGAGTGGGCCCGGCCTGCACATGCCTCCGTTGCCCGGGCGACGGCCCTCTCCCGGAGAGGTCTGCTGGGCCATTGTCCGGGGCACACAGGACGTGTCACACACCAGATGGCTGTGTGCTGTCGAAGTCAGTTATCGGGGGGCAGAGTGAAGGAATGCGGCCGGCGTGGCGGGCCGGGGCGCCATCTGTTCCTCAGAGCGCGGGCACCGGGCGGGCATTGAGCGCCCAGCCGGCTGGGCCCAGCCTCCACTGCGGGCTTTAATTAGCTAATTCTATAATTGGGCTTTATTTCAGGTAAATTGCATTTCACACCCGAGAGGGCTGCAATGGCCCATCCGGGAGCGGAGCACTCAGCACTTGGGGCGCAGTCCGTGACGCGGCCGACAGAGCGAGGCCGGCCCAGCTGGGCGGCCCGGGGAGCCCGCCGCTCACCGGGGCCGGCGGGGTTCCTGTGCCGCCGCCGTGGCCGGGCCTGGGGCTCCTCGAGGAACCCGCTCTCCAGCCGCTTCCTGGGGTTTCTGCACAGATTTACCCAACAAGGAAACAGCAGCTCTTGCCTTTCCAGTAATTGTTGCTCCTGCCCCTCCCCCGTGGTGCAGGCTGGGGAGGCCCCAGGCCTGCCTTGCTCACTCCTCCTCCCCCCGCCCTGGTCTGGCATTGGCCGGACCCTGAGGTGGGCACAGGGCTGGGCTCTGAGGAGCCTCTGGGGGGCTCATCCGTGTGGGACCCAGGCCCTCCCCTCCCACGGGAGCCAAGCTGGAGCACCGCGGGGAAGCCTGGATCCCCATCGTGCCCCGTGTCCCCGGGACAGCCCATTCTCGAACTCTCCGATGCCCCCTTGAGATCTGGGGCCTGGGAATTGGGGTGGGCTCCAGGCGGAGGGGCAGAGGAGAGGAAACGGTAAGGAGATGTGCCCAGCCGGCCCCGCCGCACCACCCCGCCGCCTCGGCTGAGCCTGTGCACCTGAGAACTGGAGGCTGGGGAGAGGGGTGCGGTGGGGGTGGGGCAGCATCCACCGGGCATGTGCCCAGCCTGTTGGGAGATGGACAGGCTTGCAGAACATGTTGTTACTGAGGGGAAACTGAGGCCTGGAGGGGCAGCAGGCCCATGTGGGGGCCCTGGAGTTTGGGCCTCCTGGGGGCCCACTGCCATGAGGATTCGGCTTGTGTACCCAGAGACCCCGGTGGGACCTGGACGGGCCCCGCTCTCACCTGGGGCCCCTGGGCCCTCAGACTGGGGCCAGCCCGGCCTGGGAGGTACAGACGGAGAGGCCCCAGTGTGTCCCCTAAGGTGGCTGCCTGGGGCTGTGGACTGGAGGCCCAGCACCCACAGCCCAACCAGGCCAGGCCCTGGCCTGAGAGCGAGGCCCTGAAGAGGTGCCCACCTCCCCCCAGGGCCACCCCAATGGGAAACCCCAAGGCCAGCAGGGCCCCAATCAGGAGGGCCGCTGGGCTGCCCCACGGTTCGGCCGCTCTGAGCCCCTGGCCCTGACCCCGTTCAGCAGCCTCCTGGGCATCGGCCTCTGAGGAGGGGACTGGATCCAGTCAACGACACAGGCCTGGGGGCAGGAAGCTGGCCCAGGGGAGGTGTGGGCCGGATGCCCGTGGGAGTAGTGGGGGGTGGCGCAGGGGAGGACAGGGTGCTGTCTTGTCCACACCACCTCCCCTGACCTCAGACCTGTGGAGCTGGCGTGGGGGATGTGGGCAGGGAGGACCCATCGGTTGTCTGGGGGCAGCAACCTCACCCACTCACTCCTGTCCCCTCGAAAGGTCACCATGGCTAGAGGGGACACCCAGGAGGGCTCTCAGGCCAGGTCGCTGCAGGAGGGGCTCTGAGCTGAGCTATGGACTTCGGGCATGATTTCAGTGGGTGGAGAGGGGGTGGGAAGAACATTCCAGCAAGAGTAGGGGCTCAGAGGGTGGGCCCTATTTCTGGCCACCATCTTTCTCCCCACTTAGCTCATATGGGCAGAGCTGACCATGTCCTGGGGAGAGGGACAGGAATGGCCCGGCCTTGGGTTACTCCTGGGCCGCTGGGAGACCTGGCCCCAGAGGCCTGGGGCAGCAAGCTGGGGGCTCCTGGGCCGCCTCCCCCAACCTGGGCAGGCGCGGATGGAGCCGGGGGGCTCGGACCTGTTGGACTGTGGCAGTGCCTTGGGAGGACCGGGCTGTCCCAGAGGGGGTCCTGCCCCAGAATGCAGGTACGAGAGGCACGGAGACCAGCCTGTGACTCCAGGTTTATTAGGAAAAGCCGGCGCAGGGAAGAGTCAGAATCACACTGTGCAACTCATTGGAACGCAGACCCCAGATCACCATGGCTGCTCCGATTTCCGTGAGGAGTGACTCCGGGAGGAGCCCCGTCTTGGGGAGGGACGGCGAGTCCTGTGTGCATTTGTCCAGCTGCATGTGTGTGGGGTCGGGGCCCCTCTTCTCTCCGGAACAGGCAGGAGAAGCCGCCCGTCCTAAGTGGGGGGCCTGTCCCCTCCCACTCCACTGGTGGTCACTCTGCTCCAGGAAGCTCCCCAGGGACAGTGGCAGTAGGTCCCTCCTGCTCGGAGCTGTGGCCTCAGGGCTGGCTCCCCCTTGGCCCCAGTCGCTGCACCAGCGTCTCTGGAGACAGAGGGTCAGGGCTCGGGCCTGTGGCCCTCCGGGCGGGACGCGTGGGCACCCCTAGTCTGGCGTGGGCTGGGCCCGCCCTGCCCACGCCTGTCCGGCCCCTCCCAGGTGCCCCTGGGTCCCGGCTTCCAGGCCCTCAGGAGCCGTCCAGGTTGTCCCTCACTGTCCTCTTGGGAAGCACTGGGCCTGCTCCCACCTGTCCTGCTTTCTGCCACACATGGGACGGACCAAGGGCCAGCCTGCCCCCTGCCACAGGGTCCCGACACCACGCAGACTGAGGGGGCTCCCTGCCCAGCCAGGTGCCAGTGCCCCCTGGCCAGGAAGAGGTGGCCTCAGCACACCTGCAGCCCAGCGTGGTCCTCAGGGTGTCTGGGCCCCGGGGGAGAGAGGCTGCTCTCTGGACCCCAGGGTGCCCCTGCGGAGTGGGAGGTGGGGCAGGCCGGTGAGGCCCTCAGGGCTCCTCGCCGGGGTCCCTGTGTGACACGGTCAGCTGCTCGTAGGTGGGCAGGGCGTTGCTGGGCAGGAAAAGCTGGGGGTGGACGGGGCCTCGGCAGGGCTGCACCCCGGGTGGCCCGCCTCCGCTGGGGGGCTGGCTGCCCGGGGGGCCGCCCCGGTGCAAGGACAGAAGCTGGTGGAGCATGTCTGTGATGAGCACCAGCCGCTGGTCCAGCTGCGTCACCTGTGGGGGTGAGAGAGGGGGTGAGAGAGGAGGTGAGCCGGGCAGTGCGCAGCCCCCCGTGCATCCCCGTGGACAGGAGGGTGCGAGGGCCTTGGCCGCGCCTGTGCGCGGGGCATGAGTGTGTCTGTGGGTGCTCAGGGCCCCTCGAGAGCGTCTGCGCCATGCAGACACACAGGTGGAGGGGCCCCTCTGCAGCCAGGGACGGTGGCCCAGTGCGAGCCACGGCTCGTGGGGAGGCCTGGCTTGGATGAGGCCTGCATGCCCTGGGGGCGGAGGACACAGCACCACAGGGCGGGTGTGCGTGGGGAGGCGGGTGTGCCAGCGGTGAACGGCTGTGGCCGAGGAACCCGGGTCCTCCATCCCCCTGGACACACACCTGGGCCCTGCTGCTGGCCACAGTGCCCCTTCCCCAGGGCCAGGTGAAGGGAGGTGCTGGCTGGCGGGTGGCCCCAGGAAGAAGCTACTGGGGGAAGGGCCCCAGGTGGACCCATGCTCAGTGGTGGGCGTGACAGGGACAGCTCTCCTCCCTCTGTGGACACTGAACGGGAGGGGAGGGGTGGCCGGGAAGGGAGAAGATGAGAGGAGTGAGCCCCAGCCACCCCTTTGCCGAAGACCTGTGGCAGGTGGGGCGGGATGGGGCCAAAGTCCTGCCGCCACAGCCCTGCCCCCTCCGTGGTGGCCTGGGAGGGGGGCTGTGCCCGTCCCCAGAGGCTGAGGCCCTGGTGATGCCCTCCCCAGCTTGCAGCAGGAGGGCTGGGTGTGTCCTCTCCTCTGCGGTGGGCACTGGGTATGATCCCCAGCTGTCCCAGGCCCCAGGACCGTGGCACATCCGAGGCCCCGTCACCCAGGCCAGAGGGGCCCAATGTCCGACTCCCCCAGATCGCGCTGAGGCCGAAGCCCAGGCTGTGGAGGGAGGTGGGCGGGGCTTCTCTGGGGGCCTGGGGTCATGCACTGAGCCTCCCACAGCCCGGACGCCCGCCCTGCACTCTGGATCGCTGCAGAGCTGTGTGGGGGCCACCGACCGAGGCCTCGACCCGGCCCCCCAGAAGGAGAAGGGCCTTGCTCAGGGTCACCAGCTGGGACCCCTGCAGCCCCTGCCCCGACCCCTAAGTTCCACCCCTGGGAGACTCAGTACGGGGCCGGGAGAAGACAAGGACGGGGTTGGGCAGGGATCAGAAGGTGACGTGAGGGGACATGAGGGGGAGACACGCTCATACCCAAGCCCCACCCCCCTCCCTGGCTCCAGGCCCCCCCGGCGCCGCTTCCTGCCTGTGCTGAGAGCCCCGTGGGGCAGGGTGGCTTGGGCTCTGGGCTCTGCCAGGGCTTCCTGGGCCCCGCAGGCCAGCAGCCATGACCAGGCTGGTCCAGGTGCGGGCGGCGCTGCCCATGCCTCAGCCTGGGGCATCGGGCGGGTCGGCCTCAATGAACGCACCAAACCCTCTGTGGAGAAAATTTGTGTTTTCATAAATTTTCACTTCACGACCCTTGAACATTGGTCAGTGTCTCCAGACGTTGCCAGTGGGTGTGGAGCTTTCTAGGGTGATGTTGGGAAAGAGGGTGCGGCCTGGTGGTCAGCGTGCAGCGGGGGATGGGGGCTGCTTGGCGTGGCCAGAGAAGGGTCTGGGTCCTGGGCCAGCTCTGGGTGCTGGACCCTGCTGGGGCAGGCAGGGGCCCCGGCGAACATGGGCAGGGGCAGGCCCTGCAGAGCCCTCCCAGCCCCCACCCCTGGCCATGCCCTGTCCCAGAGCGTGGGCCTGACCTCAGTGCCCCATGCCAGCTGGGGCTCGGGCTCCAGGTGCCCTGTGTTTGTCCCCCATGCCGAGCCCCCAGGGGGTGGCCTCTGCCCAGCACACGTGGGGCCCCGCAGGGCCCCTTGACGTGGCTCCGGGCACCCCCACTTCCCAGACGGGAGGACGAGGCAGGAGGGCCCTGAGGGTGCACTGAGCACAGACCCCTGGGACGCCCCCGTCCCCTGCACACCGGCTCTCCCTGGTCTCCCACTGCACAGAATAAGGGCGGGAGGGCGTCACCGGGCCGCAGCCTCAGACGCCAGAGCCCGAGGGGCCCAGGAAGGACTCAGTCTGCAAGGGGTGGCGCAGCCTATCTCCACAGAATGTCACGGTCATCCCCACCCCTGCGGGCACTGTCCCCGGCCCCAGCCCTTCCTCTGCAAGCTGCTGTGACCCCTGATCCCTGTGACCCCTGGTGGTGCTGAGCACCTGAGTGTGGGGCGATGGCCACACGTCCTGTCAGCCAGGCCTGGGGCCCCTGCTGACCCCCGTGCTCTGGCCTTGGCCAGGGCTGCGTCCTCTGGGGCGGGGACTGCCACGCAGCCTGCCGGCCAGCCTCCCTCACAACGGTCCTCTACAGACGAGCCGGGTCACGCTCCTCCCTGCCGAGACCCCTGGCCTTGCACCCGGCTGGAGGAGTGGCCCGAGCCCCTCTGTGGCCCCCGGCCCCACCCCCTCTGCTCTGTGGCCTCCCTGCTGTTTACTCTGTTCTGGGCCTCTCGCTGTCCTTGAGCACTGTGGCCTTTGTCCCTGCCGCTCCGGCCCCTCGGCCCTCAGTGCTGGCCCTGAGCCCCCCCAGGACCTCCCACTGCCCCGAGTGGCCTGATTTCGGTGGGGTGCCTGGTGTGTGGGTGTGCACTGGCCCCAGGAGCCCCGCTGCCCCACCAGCCCTCCACTGGCCGTGGGGCGGTGGTGCCCCAAGGCCCGGTGCCTGGACTGCAGAGCCGGGGGGTCCTCTGGCCAAGAGAGAGAGGTGGGGGTGCTGGCCGTCTAAGGCGGCCTGGTCCCTCCCCAGAGTGGCCCCTGTCGAGCGGCTGCTGGGACCCCTCAGGGCTTGGGAGCACCCCTCTCCCACGACTGGGGCAGGGGACGGCACCCACACTTCACCTCCCCTTGGGGCCGTGGGGCTGCACGGGAAGCAGGTCACAGCGTTTCATGATGTCGGAATTCACAGCTGGAGACAGTGTGACTGAGTTTTTGACTGTGTCTTAGTGCTCCAGTCCCCAGGGAAGCTGTCTGCTGGGGCCTTGTCCCTCGAGGAGGGGGTGGCGGGGGCAGTGAAGCTCCTCTCCGGGGGAGGCCCCGGCGGAGGACACACGTGTCCTGGAGCCTTCGTGGATGGCCCAGCAGGGGTCTGGGGCCCAGGGAGGGCTCGGGGACACGGATGGGCTGCCTGGGGTCCTGTCCTGCCTCATGCTAGGGTGCCCGGCAGCAGGGACATCATCCCAACTCGCACACGGCAGCACAGGCTCACCCCCTCGTCACCCAGCCCTGGGGCTCCTCCATCTCCCCGGCTCCCCCGAATTGGCTCCAGGCAGCAGCGGGTCTGAGTCTGAGAGGACTCGGTGAAGACCCCCCACCCCAAGCTCTGAGTGAGAGACAGAGTCCTCCCCCTGACAGGCGGGGGGCCCTGTGAGCTGGGCCTTGTCTCCCCCGTCCAGTCAGCTCCTGCCACCTGGCCCCTCACCTGTCCCCTCAGCCGGACCTCACCCCACGTTGCTGGCTTATCACCAGGTGTCCCCCAGCCCCCGAGGACGAAAGCCCGGTCACCGGCTGTGTCCCCCCGGGCCCGTGTCTCCGTCAGGTCCCATGTGTGGAGTCATGTCCACGGCGTCCCAGAGGCTACTCTGGGCGGACTTCCTCGTGGACTTCAGGAAAGACACGGTAGGGGTCCCGGGCTCACCGCCCTCAGAAGGGGCCTTCGTGGATGGCCCAGCAGGGGTCTGGGCCGTAGGGCCGGGATTCGTGGAGCCCCTGCCGGCCGTGCGCCCAATCCACCTCGGCAGCCCGGGCTGGGCCCGGCGATGGGGAACGTGGGGCAGGCTGGAAAAAGGCTCTGGAAGCCGAGAGGCTGCGTTTGTGTTGGCGGCCGGAGCCTCCCCGAGTCCCTCCCTTGCCGCCCCTCCGAGGAGCACCGTGTCCTGCAGGCTGGGGGAGGGATTGCCCACGGGACACTCGGTATTGGAGCTGGTGAGTGCTGACCTGCCCCGGACAAGCCCCGGGCTGGGGGTGCTGTTCTGCCTGCCCCTGGCTGCCTCCACCACTACCTACCCTTGCCCAGGGCAGGGGCAGCTCGGGACCCTGAGCCCCTATGCCCAGGCTGCCCGGCAGCGGTCCTCCACGCCAGCCGACCTCCCTGGGGCCCTGCCCCAACCGCACCCCTGCAGGTCCCCGCCACTCCCAGGGTATGGCAGCCCTGCCTTGGCCAGAGGCCCTCCCTCCAGGCCTGGGCCCGTGTGCCCCCTCGGCCGCCGCCCCTTCAGGCCCCGAGATGCCTCTCGCAGCTCCTTGGACACACCACACCCTGCCTGTCCCACTTCCCTGAATGGCCCCCTCCTGAGGGGGCCTCCCTCCCCCTGTCCCCACTCCCTGCCATCACCTCCCTGCCTGGTGCTGCCTGCACCGTTCATTTCTGGAAGCAGGGACGCCGCTGGGCTGGGGCCCTCTGGCATGTCACCTCCCCGGCACTGGGTGAGCCTGTCCCCCCACTGGGGCAGCTACAGGGGTCAAGCCTGGGAGTGGGGGTCTGGGCGCCTGCGCTCAGCCCAGCATGGGGCTCAAGTGGGGAGGCCCAGGGCACCTCCAGGTCCCCGGCACCGCACAGCTGCCTCTGGCCACTGCCCTGCCCCCAACGTTGGCTGTACCCGCGCCGCCCCCAGGCCACCTGGGCCGTTCCCACTGGTCCTGGACCCTGTCCTCCCTCTGGGCACTCAGGACAGTGCCCCAGGCTGCCCCGATACACACCCCACAGGGTGCACCCCTTCGCCGATGGATGGGGGGCGGCCAGCCCCAACCCCGCCTGTCCCCAGAGGAGCACCATCCCTGGTCCTGCCCGGTCGCCCCGCTCTGCCCAGCTGGAGCTCTTGTTTCAAATCAGCCAGTTTACAAGGTTTTGCATGAAATTTAAGTATTCTTGGAAAACCTTCTCTCTAAAAAGTAAGAACATTTCAGAGAAACATCCCCACTGATCCAGTCGCCCCGCTCGGGTGA